TTGTTGCCGCCGCCGCCATGTCGTGAAGGCGCTGTTTGGACGAAGCGGAGTCCAGCCCGGGGTGGTCACATGTGGTTGCCGCAAGCCTCAAGCCCACCGGCCGCTCCTTTGTCAAATCCGCCGGCCGTTCCTCACTCTAGCCGCCGGCTGCCGCTCACGCCCGCCGTGTGTCTTTAAGTTGTATTTACAACACTGTTCCAGAACAGTTCAACTCAAATATTCAGATGTGTGCAGCGCATTTTATGGAGGATTGTTTCCTGATCCTGGGAGAGCAGCCTACAATGCGGCTGTTTCTGACTCACAATCTATATTTAAAGAATTTTCCACTGATGATTCAAACGTGAGTTTTGGGCAGTGTAGAGTAACGCTTGTTGTTTGTCGTTTCTCCGATCACAAATGCAGACATGGCTTTATGTTTACGCGGTGCGATGCAACACAATGCATAAAAAGACCGTATAAGTCATTATAATCAGTAATTATGTCCCCACTGGATGCAACAAATGCCTCGTTTGTAATGGGTTTTATTGGTTTTGTCTCATCGCGCCGGGACACGGCATCACAGTATGGTAAGGGGCGTAACATTTCCGTCACACGCTTGAGGTATTCAGCCAATCACAACGCACTGGATAGCTGGCCAATCAGCGTTCAGAACTATGAGCTTTGTAAAAATCGACGCGTTTCAGAAAGGCGGGGCATAGAGGAGCAACAATAATGTACATTATGTGGAAAATAATGTGTTTTTTAACCTTAAACCGCATAAACTCATTACATTACACCAAATACACAACATAATATTCATTTTAGCAACGTCAGTAGACCCCTTTAAAATACAGGTAACATTTAGGGCACAAATATAGCCTGAGACCACTAGTGAAAATCTATTTAGCATTTTTTTATGATTTCATAGATTTCTTTTATTGACAAAAGATATTATGAACATAAAAATTAACATGACATATTGTCAGCATAAGAATGAACATGAATATCAAAATTTAATTATGTGTTAATTTATTTTTATTGTTTATTGATAATGTTTGTATAAATTTAAAAGTTTTATTTGCTAAATTATGAATATAGCCTATATTAATATTTATGTCCACTTTTGCTTTAATGACAGCTTTTGAAGATTTTGAAACCAATTTTCAATATGATCTCTTACTTTGGGATTCCACAGTATATTAATGCATTTTAGAAATTTTATTAAAATATTACCTGTAATTCGACCCAGCTTGCCTTCAAATAGGGTCCCAACAAATCCAGACACATGTGCTCCAAGACTCACACCAATGAAATGGAAAGATTCCAGTGTGCTTCCATATTTCTACAAAGGACACAACAATAAAAATATACTATTTGTAGTATACAAATGTACTATACCAACATATTACTACACAAAAATTATATTATTCTTGTACTTTCTATGTGTTTACTGTGATACGTTTTCTGTGTAGCCTACTGATCATTGTGAACAATTTTATGTTTATTACTTCTAGCATATGGACACTGCTCTAAAAAGACAGCCTTTAGTATTCAGTGGTCATATTTTATTATGGATTCTGTAACACTTGAACATAACCAAAACATTGAGGCTTTTACCGTAAGCTGATTGATAAGCACTGAAATCTGCACTGCCACCTCCTTGTAGTTCTCAACCACCAGGTTATAAGCAAAGGAGGCTCCATAGACCCAGTCGACCACCAGAACATTCACATTCTCTTCCCGCAGGAGAGCCTGGGCTAAGCCACTCACCCAGGAAGGTTTACTGCCCAGAGCCCTGAAACATAGTATATCAAGGAATCATCTGAGTAAAATCTCATTCACAAGGATTGCTTTGCTATTATAAAATGCTGCCGATTAAATGTTTTACCTGTATCCGTGAACTATGACTTTGGTGGGGAGTGATGAGTTGAAGTAAGCCGTGTGCTTCTGGGTATGGTTGAGGCAGTCCTGTGTGAAGAGGCTGGCACAGTCTGCATTATTTCGTGTAAGAAGAAGATACTGAACCTGGAGCTTGGTGCCCTGTCTGTATTCCAGCCAAGTGGTGTTGTTGAAGTCAGCACACTTCGTTCGAGAAGCTTCCTCATTACCTGTAAAATTGTATGCATGGAATTCATGAGTATGCAACGTCAAAACGTTTTGAGATTTTAATCTGTAATTGGTAGCTTCACTGGATTCACCAGACACTGCTGTCTCTGCTGTCCCCAGATGTGTAAGTTTGACTTTGTAAAGCTGAATTTGTAAAGTAAAACATTATATATTAAATAATAAAGATGGTACTGTTATTTTCAAAAGCTGGAAATGAACTTTGGAAGGTGAATACAATTTAAAAACATGTTAAATTGCAGGCACCAAAAATTCAAGCACTGATAATGCAATGCAATTTTTATTTTAATAAGAGCAATTCAACATGCTTTTTTTGTATCAGTGTGCTTCTGTATTTGTTTTAAAGAGGTCAGATTGTCTCTGGTTTAGTTTAATTTAATTTATCAATTAATTAATCAATGGATTTATAAATATTAAAATCACTACAATCAAATTCTGTACATACTTTACAACTGTTGATCAGTGAACCACTTACTGACACACTATAACTTAAGTTTTCAATGTTTCTCTTTCTCCAAATAAACGTCTAACTAAAACTGCAGATCATTTGAATTCGGGTGGTGTATTCACCCAATAGAACTGCCACAATTAAAGATTTAATCTGTGTGATATTGAACTAAACTGAACTTACCGACAGCAGAGGAGACACACGTTGACAAATAAACAAAAGCCTTGATCCATTTCCAAGCCATGTCTTGATCAAAATGATCAAATCAGCTGAGTGAGATGTTTCTGCTGGTTAGATACTTGTTTGGGTGCAAAATCATTCTTTCTCTTTCTGCATCCTTTCAACGCATGTTCTTCAACTAGCTGCCCTAATAAGCCTGGAATCCACTTAATATCCAGCCACAATCTGTTACACAATGCCTGGTTCTGAGAAAAATGCTACAATATCCGATTAAGTGAGATGAATGGCTTTTCCTTCCATTCCTGGTGTGCTGTTATAAAGCATGTCAGCATGAGAGACATTAATTCCCAGCATCCATCCCGTGATAGCTTGTGTAGCTAGTGGAGACTCTTTGTAAGCTTTGACTACAACAATGAATAACAAATGATCGGTCCACTGCTCTGCAGCTGGTTGTGAACCTATGACCTCACAGATGAAATGTTTGATTGTTTGTCCAGAGGCAGGACTCTGGCCTCTTTGGCACAAAACTCTCAGAAGAGTTTTTGCTGGATTGAAGTAAAATTAACACTTTGAAGTAAAATTAAGCCCCACTTGAAAGACGTAATTATCATCAGCTGTTTGTTCAAGTCCAGACTCATCTTCTGCAAAAGGGCTGTTGCTACTAGGCATTAACTTCTCGTTGACTTTGTAAATGGTAACAGAGAAAAACTGAGCATCATACAAGACATAATGCACTATATTGACACATCTGATTTCTTTTCCAACTATTTAGGTTCACTTAACACATAACCGACTGTGTTTACGCGAATAGGCTATACTTGCCAGGACGGACAAGACGGTTCTTTTTCACGGCTTTAATTCATTTTAATATCAAGCAGTTTTCACACTCAACTCAGCCCTTCGCGGCTACATTTACATCAAAAATGATATCATTAATTGAAAATATCATCAGGCATGAATTTTACCATTAAAAAGGATTGTCATTTGCATTCTCATTCTCATCAGCACCTCTGTTAACTTACGTCACAATTCCGTGACAGTCTTTCTTTCTTTCTTTCTTTCCTTATATTTAATCGTGCCAGGCAAGCTGACAAATCTTTTTTCAATGATATTTGGATAACATATAGCCTATAAAAGTTATAATAACATTTGTTGATCTATTCATTTCACAGATTTCTATATAATTATATAAAACTATATTTTAATGGCTGCTTTGCCACGGAGAGACTAAGTTATGGACATTTGTGAGGACCCTATTGAATGCATTTGTGACACAAAAAATAAATATCGGTAAGGCAGAAGTACCTTCTACTACTTTTCTTTTATTGCACAGACTGATATTTCTGACGTTTCACCATGATCACGTGACATAAGCAAACCCATTAACTCTTTCATGTCTACTACATATATTACCAGTGCACCATAATTCTACAAATAAACTGGATCTATGCAGTATCATTCTAACTGATAAAAAAAATTATAGACAAAGATTAGATTTCCTTATACTGTGAACAACATTAGTATTACTGCACTCTTTCCGTTAAAATGGCTGATAGTTTAGAAATTACTGGTAGCTTTCTGAACATCAAATATTCACGAAACTTAGCAGGTTTCCTCAAAATGACTTGTTCTCCATTGTCAGTAAATGAATAAAGACTTGTCGCCACTTACTAACAATGTAACATGCAATACGGGTCACTGGAAAATCCTCAACACTAAAACAACAACAGACAAGTGGAGTCAAACAGGCAGGCCTATGAATTACCACAATATACATTCGTTTATTTTCTAGTCATTCCAAATTCGAAAGTAGTACCTAAATAGCATTGATACTTGGTTTGTCTTCATTTCTGAAATGATTTTTAAATTTTAAAATACACGATTAAAGTCATAAAAGAAAATATAGTCATAAAATCTTCTCTTGAATTATGTTAAAGTTTTAGTACTTTTTATTACAACTACTTTTTTTTCCTTTATATGGATATTTATTTTTTATTTGTGAGATAATTGTAAACATAATATAAAGTAATTTCCATGTTTTTTTTGTTGTTTTTTTTACTTTAAAACATGCATTATTTAAAACATTAGACAGCCAATTTTTTTGACTACCGGAGATCTAATTAGAAGGAAAGTTTACTGTAAAACATCAGACAGAACATGGCTGCTTAGAAATACAGGCAGCACAGTATTGTTAAACATGATTTTAATTTATTTCAAGTTAATTGTTGTCTCTTTGCAGGTAAGACAGACGCTAACCAATCGCTAGTGCACTTACGTGCCTCTTCCCAGTCATAGCGAGGGCTGTATCCAAAATCCCTATGAGCCTTTTGATATGAGAAACTAAAGGGTGTGTTTAACATGGTCAGTAGCTGCCTGTTTAAGGGAGGAGTGAACTTCAGAAAAGGTCGGAGCACAACGTGCAGTAATTCCATGAGGAATGACAGGAGATACAGAAGTGGGAAGGGCAGAATGGGCCTCTCTTGTATCCCAAAGCCTAATGTTGAAAGAACAGCATAGTTAAAGTCCGAGTAGCTAACAGGTGGCGTGTTGTCTGAGATGTAATAGAAGTTTCCACCCATCACAGCCCTTTTCTGAGAATCTTTGAGAGCCCGACCTGCTTGTAGATGTGCCAGGGCTGCGTTTCCCACATATACAGGATTCACTTTTGCCTCACGTCGTGACATTCTCAGCAGCACATTTCCATTGCGGATTCCATCCCTCATGTGGCCTAAAGTAAAACGACAGCCTGGTCCATAGATGTACATGGGCCTCAATGCACAAGTAGCCAGCTGACCTCCATTACGGAGCAGCTCTCCATTGGCCTGAAGGCAAATCTGTTCAGCTTCCTGCTTGGTTTTGCTATAGCTAAACTTAAGACAGGAGGAGTAATGGGTGTCCTCATCGCCATTAATGATTGGATCACCGCGGGAATTGGGACCTGCCACCTCAATGCTGCTAGTGTAAATGAAGGAGGCCACGTTTTCTTGGATGCAGATCTCGAGCAGCAGCTGTGTTCCTGTTATGGAAAAACAAACACTATTTTATTGTCTCTGATACTATATTGTGTAGTGTTGGCATATTTTGATCATCAAAGTGAATTTTTGATGGTTTTATTTGATTTGCTAATGCAAGTATCATCGACATCAGTAGTTCTCAACCTGTTTGACTCCAAGGTTCACAACTATAACCGAAGGCCCTTGCAGGCTTTTGTTTTCAAAACTTTTTTTTTATTATTTACAGTGTCCATAGATTAAAATAAGTAACTAGAATAATTATAATTGAAATGAAAATAACTGCATTACAGGATTCCATACGTTTCAAGAGCTCAGTGTTCTTCAAGGATAGTAGTTGTTTGTGATTTACTGCATAAGCATTAAGGATAAGGATTTTTACAAAATATTTTAACCTACAATTTCTACCTGATAAAATATTCTAGAGCTTGGCATACCTACACAAATGTGTATTCATTATAAAAATGCTCATGGAGTTTTAAAATTGTATTAATTTACAAGGTTTTTCCCAGGTTTTCCAAGACCGTGGGAATCCTGGTTCTTTAGAGACAAAGTATGTTGTTTAGGGAATGAATTAAAATACGAAATATCTTAATTTTTAGTTGTTTTAGCCCATTTAATGCTTGTTTTAAGTCCTATTAAGTCATCTTGAGGCCCCTATGGAAGTTAGTGGGCCCCGGACACCCAGTTGGGAACCACTGCTCTCTTCTTGTCTCATTCTTTTTAAACTGTAAAAACAATTGTGTCCAAACTCTACATTCATTCAGGAAATTTGAATCAGTCTTTTTCCTTTTAGCTCAGATTGATTCAGTCTTGTTACCATGTGCTAAAGAGCAGCACAGAACTCTCACCTTCAACATTTACTCCATATAATTCACTGTATTCAGTTGCTCCAATGACATCAATGAGAGATGCAGTGTGGATAACAAGTGCTGCTCCTTTACAGGCTCTTCTCAATAGCTCACGGTCCCTGATATCCCCCTCAAAAACACTCACTTTAGTCTCTCCCTTGCAATCTGAGGACACAAACAGAGAAATGATAATGGCATGTGAACAGTTTACCTTATCTCTAGTCATATTATTCACAAGCAAAGGCTGATTTCAAGTGCAAAACAGGATGAAGAATGCCAGCTAATAGAGAGACGCCACAAAACCGAAGAATTCAAAAAGTGACCAACAGAATCCCCAAAAAGGAGAAATACAAGATGAGAAATGCTGTAATGGAAGTATCCACTAACCATCAAATGACTGTATTAGCTCAGACTGGATGTTTCTATCCAGCAGTCGGATCTCAGCAAGCTTCTCCTCTTCCAGCAACAGTCTGACCAGCTTTTCTCCTAGAAACCCGCAGGCTCCCGTCACAACACACACATCTCCTGACAGAGTCATGGCAGCTGCCACCAGCACCACTTCACTCCTGCCAGCACTTTGTATTATGCCACTATGATGAAACCGTTCCAGAGGGCAGATTCTGGAGTTTTAATGGTGGAGTGGACTGGGAGGGTGGTGCATTTTTAAGCCTTATTACCAAGGACAGCCTCAATGCCACGGGTTGGGGACGGGAGTTGAAAAACAGTGTCAAGGTGCTAGTCAGCACTCTGCTTATTTTTAGGGTTCCTGTTTTTACAAAGAAAGCCACTACTGATATGAAATAAACCAAACCGGTTTTATGCAATGGCTTTACATGTTTTCAAATAGACATTGTGAAAGATACATAAGGGGAACTCAGGGGTATAGTAACCATTTCACAAGTTTGTATTTGTATTTTGAGCAAAATAAAATAAAATACAAATTATTTCCAAAACTGCTATCTTACTAAAATATTACTAGATACCGACATATGTATTACACAAACTGGCCTGAAAGTTACTTTACTTTTGGAGTGATCCTTACTATAACCCAGCTTTATATCAGGTAATTGATCATGTTGACTTTTCCACCTCTATTAGCAGCTTAGATTGCCTTTTTGTGGATATGAGAGAGGGAACATTCTTCAGTCATTTTACAGTTCTGACTGTAATAGTCTTTTATGTTTACTCTGGGTGTCTACAGACCTTGGGTTGTTGTCCTTTGTCTTCTGATAATCTGTCTGATGACTTCGCCAAAACATGAACCCCTCAAGGTTGTAGGACACATTCTGCACTGTACACACAACCACTTACAATATATGGATCACCTCTTATTTTAGTTTAAACTGTTTTGTCATTCGTGATTATTCATTACTGTTTAAAAGTTTGGGATCAGTAAGATTTTTTAATGTTTTTGAAAGAAGTATCTTATGCTCACCAAGGCTGCATTTATGTGATCACAATTAATATTGTTAAATACAATTTAAAATAGCCGTTTTCTGTGTCACATGATCCTATGTATGTGTATATTATCTAGCCCTTATTTGAAAAATAAATAAATAAATAAAGAAGTGCAGGATTAATTCATATTATTTATTTATTTTGCTTGAATGGAATCAGTAGACATTTTATGTTAAGAGAAATGTACATTAAAGATACCAAACACAAATTAACTGATTTAAAAAACTATTTTTTTTGCAAAGCATATAAAAGTAATTGAAGCAAATTTAAGAGATGCAGAATAATTTAGAGATGCAGTATTCAGCACTGTGGCCATCAAATGTGGCATCAGGCATTGAAAGAGAACAGCATTTAAACACAGTCATGCACATTTAAACAAATAATGGTGCACTTTTTTTTTACAAGCAAATTATTTTCCCTCACCCCAGCTCAGACATTAATAAAGTGGCATGTACAGTAATCAAATCATTCAACCTGTTTTTGCAACACACATCACTGGCAATGTGAAGCTAACTTCAGTATCTCACATTTAAAGGCCAATAACAATATTAAACCATCTGTTCAGCTTTTGGATGTTAAAAGAGGACACTCTTGTATTTCAGCCTCATCTGTTGAACGTCTTGGGCAATGAACTGTCATAGTGCAGGCCCTTATGCCTCCGAGAGGCTCCAGGACACTGAAGACCTTCTCCCACTCATCCTTCTCAGGGTCATAACACTGCACGATATCCACCATACACCTGCTGTTCCAGGAGTAACCACCCACCACGTAGATGCAGCCCTTAAAGATGGCCACCCCCACATCGCTCTGACCCTTGGGCATCGGAGCCACCACTGTCCACTGGTCAGTTGCAGGGCTGTAGAACTCAGAGCTTAGCACATCATCATAGTCATTTGTCCCCCGGAAGTGGTTTCCACCCATGACGTAGAGGCGGTCGCCCACGGTGCACATGCAGTGAAGACCACGAAGCTCCATCATGTCTGCTCGCCTGCTCCACACGTCTCTATCAGGGTCATAACATAGCAGCTCTTTCTGGAAAGCATCTCTTGTAATACCACCTGATGGTATAAAGGGTGAATGCAACTTTTAAGAACAAGCTTATTTATTCTTGCAGAAACAAACACAAATCAGCAGAAAGAATGTGATTACGTAGCTGGAAGTATAGAACTTTTTCTTATACTAAGGTCACTACTTACACAGAACTTAACAATCCACCAACAAAGTAAAAATCACAGGAGAAGTCCGAAAAAGTCTCACCACCATTTCCACCACATGATGTTTTGTGTTTAATTGCATTCTGTGGTGGAAATGACAATGGTGAAAATTATATTTGTAACTTTTTGGAGGTAAAATGACTGACTGTTCGCAGTCTGGATAAGTGTAATTTTATAAAAATAAAAGTAAATGTAAAAAATAGTTAAATGTATAATTTAAGTGTAATATAATTTTATTTATTAAAATAAAATGTATAATATATTTTCAGACTTTTTGCATCATTTGAAATAATGCAAAATGACACAAAATGAAAACATTCTACTCACATGTGATTTCCAGCTTGATGTTTTTCACACATCACATGTTTCTCAAGCATGATTTTTACTGACACTTTTGTATCTTTGGTAAAGAAGTACACTGCCTTTTGAAAAATCCTGGTGTGGTGGAAATGACCCCAAAATGCCTCTATATTATTATTTTTTATCTTCCCATTACCCCCAAATTATTTTTTTCTCTATAAATTACCTTATTTTCAATAATGCTTGTTGAAAACTTTGTGATTCTTCAAGTAGGGACATTCTCATGGTTTCACAACAAGCATGCAGTGCCCCTTTTAGGCTGCGGTTTAACCTCAGATGAGTGACCCAGTTGAGCTTGAAGCTGCTCTGTTTACTGGTTATCTGTTTCATGTTACTTTTGCCTCTAGTTCTGGGAACTTCGCCATTAGGTGAAGGTTGCAAAGTTGCTAAGAGACCTCCAAAAAGTGTTTTCTTCTTCTTTTTTTAAGAGTAATAAAAGAATCCTTGTGCAGTGCACTCATTAGACTCATGCAGAGGACTGTGGTGGATTAAGGCCACATGCTTTGTGAGCCACATTTAATTAGTATACAAAATCTCCTCTCATTATGTAGGACAGATGTTACCACATTAATGCACAACTACATATAATATGGATGTGCTTTTCACATTGATCTCACATAAAGGTGGATACTCACCCGACACATACATCAGACCTCCATGTACTGTGCCAGCATGTCCATAGTGAGGTTCACTCATCGGTGCAACAAAAGTCCACTCATTATTGTTCAAGTTGTAGCACTCCACCGAATCTGAACAACAGACAGTTTTCTGTTTTTCCACAGTATTTTAAGACAGGACAGAACATTTTGTACAGAGTAATTGGTAAAACATGTCCTTACCAATCTCCCCAGTGGCATTTCTCCCTCCAACAGCATACAGCTTCCCCTTAAGAGCACTCAGATGGAAGAACGTCCTCTTCTCATTCAGAGAGGCCACCTGCAACCAGCGGTCAAAGCGAGGATCATACCTGTACGCACTGTCCACAGCTGTCTTACCCTTGGTGTCGTAAGTGCTCTGACCTCCAACAATGTAAAGAAAGCCCCCTAGAAGAGCCACTCCGTGCTGGTAACGTGGCACCTCCATAGGTTGGAGGGACCTCCAAGTGCCTCCGTCTTCCTCATCGTACAGCTTGAGCTCTTTGCTGACCACCAGTTGCTGCCTCATCACACCACCCAGAACCACCAGGTGAGTGCAATTGGATCGAATCCGGGTCCGTTCCGTCTGCAGCGTCGGCTGGAGGAAGGGAAGCATCTGATAGTTGCTGGCCTCCAGGAGGAGGTTGACACAGGCCGTGTCTGATCGCATGAACGTCTCCCGTTCCTCTTTTCCTCTGCTTGCTGCTCCTTCTTCAGTCTGGTCCTCCTGAGAGATCTGGAGGAGCTCAGCAGGGGACATCAGAGGGAAGCGGATGTGGCGCATCAGAGAGTAAACAGCAGAACGCCGCTCGCTAGGTTTATGGGACAGCCAGGAGCGGGCGATGCGGTACAGCTCCATTTCGGAGAAACCCTTCAGAGAGTCACTGGAGAGGGCGAACGTTATGCTCGCCTCGGACAACTGCAGGAGATGGCCGCTCTGCACCAGCAAGGAGAAGTTCTCGCACACAAAAGTGTGGACGTGTCTTTGGACATCTTCCAGAAGAAGATCTCTGGCAATGCGCTCAACTTCCATGCAGTTTTCTATAGTGATCTGCCATGTAGAAAACCTGGCTTATTACGTCATGCACAGATGAATAATTCACGCAAAGGAAGAATAAACACCACATGTTACGGATTTATACCTCACTGCTGAGTAGCTGGTTGCAGAAGCTGAGAACGGGAAGCACCTGGAGGAAGCTCGCCGCCTCTAGTGTGTCCTGAAGGGTACCGAGACCCAGGCTCACACGAGATGTGTAGATGAACTCGATGATGTTCTTCAGGCCGACTGTGCTCACGCCATGGAGCTTAATCTCCTTCAGCTCCTGCTCTCTCATGCCACCTGCCACACCAAAAGGGAGAGGGAATTTAGAAAAAAAAATAGATCAGTGTGGATCAGTGAGAAATATATTGCAAGGAGGAAATGCTTTTCGTTGGTAACCTAACTAACTAAAATGCAGAACAAATACATAGACACGTTTGAACAAAATATTACATATATTAACATTTTGGCCCATATTTTTCAAGTTGATAATTATTTCCATCCATCCATCCATCTAGTTTTAAACTATTTTAAACTTTCAGGCTTGGCTTTCTCAAGCCATTATCAAAGTTTGTCTACAAACATCGTTTTAAATGCTAAGGGAATTTAGACATCATAACAACGTATTTGATAGATGATTTGATAAATTACATTTAAGTTTTATTAAATTATTATTGTTTCTAAAAAGTATATTTTAATTTAGCAATGTAAAAATAAGGCAACAGAGTATGCACAATCAAATATCCTATATCGACAGATAACAAATAAATAGAAAAAATATGTCTAATATCGGCCAATAACCAATATGGTATAGATCTATTGTACATCCCTAAATTTGTGTGATAATCACAAAACACAAGACATGGATAAATAGGAGGATCAGGCTCAACCAGAATCAGCTGATCAACAGCAAGCATATGAAGCATTACAAAAAGGTAACACATTTAAATCACAGGGGCATCGCAAAAAACTGTCAACATTATTAATTAGGTTTGACAGCTAAAGCTGCTCCTCCTGGATTTAGCAAGACTCACCTGTGAACATGGCCTTGAAGTAGTCACTGGCTGAAGCCATGATGACCCTGTGGACTGGGAAAGTTTCACTGCTGTCACCAGGAACCAGAGTCACATCGCAAAGTGTCTCATCACCACGAAAACAATCCAACCCCTGGGACATGGCAAAATTTGCCATTAATATATACTATTTGCAGTGAAATACACCATTGTTGCTTTGTAAGTACACGGTATTTCTCTGTTTTAGGCAGTTTGTTTCTACCTTTTCTTATGTCTTTGTCTTACCTTGAGTATGGCAGTGCCATGCTCTGTGCTGTTGAACACTTGTATTTGTGGCTTCGGAGGGGCAGTGGGCTTTTGAACCACTGGAGGTTTTGGGGGGATTACAACTGGTTTTGGCGCAGGTTCTGGAGGTTTTGGAGCAGTCTCAGCTGGTCTTGGAGGAGCCACTGTTGGAGGCTTGTCTGTTTGAGGAGGGGGTCGTGGCGGCTCTCTCTGCGATCTGCTTCCTATTCTGGAAAGTCTGCGATGCAGTTTTCCTTCCTCTCCACTGTTGCTGAAATAAAGACATATTTAAAACTTTGACAGTCAAATCACATGAAAGACCTATATTCCTCCTTTCCTCTAATTACGATAAAATAATATTCTATAATAATTAGTAAACATTTAACTGACCATTTGTATCCAATACTAACAGTTCACTAACCAAATGTTATTTTATGTGCTCATAAATATATTTCTGTTTAGTATAAAACATGTCTGTCCAAACTGTCTTTTAAAGTAAGGCCTATGGTGCAATAACTTAATAAGACTGTCAGAACTTACCCCATGTCTTTTGTGTCTGCTTCTTTGCAAATTTGCTCTTTACAGGATTTCTGATAGAAAAATTAGATTAGAACAAATGGTTAAGTGTTTCACCAGATCTGCAGGAACAATATTTGGATCAAAGTAAAAAAGTTTCACCAACAACAAGGTCTGAAAGGGGAAGTTAGCTCTGTCATCTATGTGCAACGAACACAGTGATGCAGATTAGACAGACATGGCCTCTTCTATATATGTGTGTTTATAGAAAGAGGGAGTCTTTCTTTAGTTAAGTTCACAAAATAATTGGCAGATAAACTTAAGCTGAATACTGAACTTACTGAATATTTTTCTACTACTTACTATTAAGTGCTATATTTACCCATCCTCTTCAAAGAACTGACACACAAATGTAAAGTTTCTGAGTGGGGTAAAATTCAGGAAAGATGGACTACATTAAATAAAAGGAGCTTACCGAGACGTGATGCTTTCTCTGGGGGTTTCAGTAGTGTCTTCTCATTTTAGCACAAAGCATCACACTGTGATCACACTCAGTCGACACAAATGGGTATGTAGAGTCTGTTTACCACAACCTCATTGACTTCCTGTGTCACTTCTCTCTCTCTTTCTCGCACACACACACACACACACACACACACCCTTACATGTTGTTTCAAAACGTTCTATCTTCCTCCTTTTGACATGTTACTTATAATAGGCTTCAGTTCAAGCCTTTGCTCTTCCCTTAGCTGCATTTGCACTCTGATGTTGTGTTTGATACGCATGAGGTGAACCCATAGCCGGTGTTAAAAGAGGAAGCCTAATAGCAGATTTGCATTTTTTATGTGCTGCACTAGCAGTACTGATTATTTACTGTAAAACAAACAATCTTTATGTAAAGGGCAGAGTGAAAGAATCAATATGCACTTAAATATGAGATAAATGCATAAATTTGTACCATGTGTTTATTTTTTGAGTGAAAAATCGAGTTAACTTCGTACAAAAAGTAGGAAGTCAACAGAAAAAGTGTAGCAATTAATTGTCAGATAAATACTGATTTAACACACACCTTTTTTTACTTCTGAGAATCTCGTATTGGATATTTTAATGTTCAATATTTGTTCCATACTGACCTCACTTTGCTCCAAAATCTGAAACTTTTCTTATTGCACATTAGTTTGTTGCCAGCTACATGAGACACCTTCAAAACCACTGTCTTGAATGAAATTCTTTGTTGTCTTCGTGCATTACTGACTTAAAATTTGTATTATAAAAAGTGCTATATAAATAAATTTGATAATTACTGAGTGGAGATTCATCAGGTTCTAAAATAATTCACTCTCAGTCAAAACAGCGTGGAATTTATGCAGTGCTGTAAATAATGATTACTGAAATACAAATACTGTATTAAAACCATCCATACACTATGAACATTTTTAAATATGTCATTCTTGCTAAATGTGATTTAAAAAAAGAGTAGTTTCTTGAATAGATTTAGTATTAATAGTGGATAAAGTGGATCTTTGCGGTGCTCTGCTGTCAGTGGTAAAGTAGAAATGACTAAAGTCCTCTTTGCTGTTCAAAGTCTGGAGAACTGAATGAGGTTCCTGTTGATCTCAGCAACGTTTCGGCAACCTAGTAGAATTAGAGGCAATTTGAAATGAAGAGAATTGTCAGACATCAAAACGCGACCCATTTTTCTGTTGTGCGACACGTGGCTCATTGAATTCTACACAGCAGACTGACCTGACAGCGCCATGGATAAATGAAACTCGTCATGTAGAATCTGTAAGATCTCTCTCACTCCTTCCTCCCCCTGATCAAAACATACTGTATATGAACATCTTATCTGCACCAAATATCATGCAGGTATCCGATTTGTTAATGGAAACTTTAGAACAGGCTCAAATAGATTTTCAAGCATTAGAAACCCTAAAAATACTGCTTTCCACTCAGTTACCTTGTAAGCGAGGCCCCAGATTACTGGTCTGCCAATAAACACACATTTGGCTCCCGAGGCTATGGCCTTCAGCACATCATTGCCTGTGCGGATCCCTCCATCCATGTAGACCTCGACCCGGCCCTGCACTGCATCCACTATCTCAGGCAGACAATCTATCTGTGTGACATGTAAGGTCAAGGTGTAACTGTTTGAATGGTGGGAATCACATCTAAACTACTGAGACTTTGATAGATTGCCTTACCGTTGCGGGTACTCCATCCAGTTGCCGGCCCCCATGATTAGACACAATTATCCCCTGGACGCCATGCTCTACGGCCAGCTCTGCATCCTCTTTTGTAAGGATGCCCTTGATGATTATAGGCAGCTGTGATAGAGACTGGAGCCAGCACACATCCTTCCAGCTGATTGATGGGTCCAGTGTATTAGCTGGGATCCCATATTCCTCCTGAGAGCCTGCCGGCTCCTGTAGAGGAAGCAAAGAGGGATTCATACAAACAGACACTGCATAACAAGATACTATGTTTAAACTTTTAAGCTATAATGATCATACGAGTTTGAATTCAGCTCGCAACATTTCCCACTACCTCTCTCTGTTATTTCGTGCCCTTCCTCTACTGCTTTTTTCAAACTTTATGGTGCGAACCCCATGTGATGATCCCCTTGTTAATCGTTAGTGTCAGACTTGTAACCCGAAGGTTGCGGGTTCGAGTCTCAGGTCTGGCAGGAATTGTCGGTTGGGGGAGTGAATGACAAGCACTCTCTTCCACCCTCAATACCACAACTGAGGTGAGACCCTTGAGCAAGGCACTGAAACCCCAACTGCTCCCCGGGCGCCGCAGCAATATGGCTGCCCACTGCTCCGGGTGTGTGTTCATGGTGTGTGTGTTCACTGCTGTGTGTGTGCACTTGGATGGGTTAAATGCAGAGCACAAATTCCGAGTATGCTTCACCATACTTGGCCACACGTCACTTCACTTAAGTCATATTATAAAGACAACATGATGTTTCCAAAACTTATTTAGCTTACTGTACTAACACAAATAGCTAAAATATGAAAATATTTTGAGTTGAGTTCAGATTTATTTGTGAAGTGCTTTTCACAAGAAATATTTTTCTAAAGCAGTTTAAAGATTTGTTTATATATATAGATATAACATTTTAAGGTTAATTTGGTCACACTTTAGTTTGGGGACCAATTCTCACTATTAAAGGTGCACTAAGCGATTTTTGAAAAATGCTTTTGGCCAATGTGTCGGACCGAGTTCCAAAACACACTCGCAGCCAATCAGCAGTAAGGGGCGTGTCTAGTAATGATATGGAGAATAGGATGGATATTAGCAGATCGACTATAGATAACGAGAGATGGCAGATTAAAAAAAAAAAGAGGAACATTTCAGAGAAAAAAAACATTAAAAAGAAGGGCTACGATCAGGCAAGAGGACCCGCGTAAATATTGGAGCAGCTTTCCAGCGGTGGAGAGAACGCAAGGAACGGAAGGGAATCGGACGCCGATAAGATAACACAATAAGTACATTGTACTTATTTTTTGATGTAAGTACATAGTAGTTAAGGCCACTTAATATAAAGTGGGACCATATTATAATAATTATTGAATTAAACATATGAAATAAATATCTTAAGTTAATGCATTCACTTTGACAGCCCTAAAACTATTTTCAATAATTTTTCTTTTCTCTCAAATTTTCCCCAAAACCCTTGCTTTACTGTATTATACATTTAAAAAGTTCAAAAATTAAAAATAAATAAATAAATAGCTATCTTACCTGGAACATTCTCTCAAAGTTCTTGACCATCAGGTGAGGTGGAAGCTTAAACTGGTTGCGTATGTCATTGCGCCGTTTGCCAGCGTAGGGCACGTCCACTGTAAGCACCAGAGCTTTGTAACCAAGTGCCTCCACTCTGCGTACAATCTGCTCCGAGAGCTTACGGTCCCGGTACAAGTACAGCTGGAACCAACGGTACCCGTTGGGTGCTGCTGCGGCAATCTCCTCCACTGAACATGTGGAGTATGTGCTGGCTATGTAACAGGTGTTCACTGTCTCAGTGGCTAGGAAATGAAAGAAGAATGGAAAGATAAATTGCAAAAAAGTCAAACTAGTAGCTAGTAGCTTCAACCAAGTTTCCATCTAGTGGCCAAAGTGCTGCATAACACAAGAAATAATGAAACCAAGTCTCACCTCTAGCAGTGGCCAGTTCTCCCTCATGCCATGCAAGGCAGTGGAAAGCCGTGGGAGCAATTCCCACAGGGAAGCTTATCTCCATTCCCAGCACAGAGGTCCGAGTGTCATTGATCGACACATCACGTAAGACCCGCGGCCTCAAACGGATCCTTAAAGAGATGACATTATAGTATGAGATTAGTTTAGTTAGAGATTACTCATAAGCATGGTCCATAAAATTGTAGAGTAACACAAATATAGAGTGATACAAATTTAACAACAGCATAGTACCGTTTATAGGCCTGCAAGTTGTCATCTCTGGTGCAACAGTCATCAGCTCCGGCCTCATAATAGTCCCACGTAGCCTTTGAGAGGTGCTGCCTGGCATATTCCTCAAAATCATTCAAACAGACCATAGTCATTTCTACACAGACGCCTTCCTCGCTAAAAAATAAATAAATAAATAAAAACACATCTTCATTGGTATATACACAACTGACATGAATATCATTTCATCACTGACACAGAATTTGCATTCTTGCACCAATACATAAAGAGAAGTATGAACATCAATATTAGAATACCATTTAGATTATTTACTTTCTCAATGTCAATGAATATAAAATACAAATAAATCTTTTGGGATGTATTAATATAAAAATATTTTCTTTATATTTCTCAAGGCATTTTTTTGTATTAGTAAATGTGAAAAAAATACATTTAAAAATTGTTATGAAAACAATTTAACATTTTCGCACAATATTGCAGATTAGTGCTAAAAAACATTAAACAAACTACCTGCATTCAAACAGAACCATTACACACCCGTTTTTCCAAATTTAGGTTGGATATTACAATTAAATAGAATCACATTCAACAACTCTACTTTGGAAACACAAACAAGAGGTCCATTTTACCTTTTCTGACGGTTTAGACAAATTTAGGTCGCAGCACAGTGGACTGCTTCGGTGCTTTTAGCCAGCTAACTTTGGCAGTCAAAACACTGATTAACATGAAAGACTGAAGCAAGAGGAAAGAAACAAAAGTGGGTTGGGATTAACTTTTGAACTCTGTCAATGGGCCAGTATTTAGCTTTTACAAGACACTTTATTTCCTTACTGAGATGATTGCATAGTACAAAAGAGAGTGAACTGATATGTATTTTCACACTATTTGTTAGAAAAATCTAATTGTGAATAAACTTTTTAATAAAAATTTCATGCACTACCACCTAAAGTTAATAATTACAGCAGAACACCAGATCTGTTCTTGTAGTCATCAGAAACTCCTGACCTATGGACTTAATCCAGTACTGCTTTTAACAGACTGCAGCAACCCAATGTTTACTCACCCATCAATACATGTAAACTATGTAACTCTGAAAGAACCAAAAACAACCATATGCTTTTAAAAATACAAATATTAAAATGAATCACTCACCTGTCTGGTCAACAGCAGTATAACTCTAACTTAAAGGGGTCATATGATGCTTTTTAAAAGATCATTATTTTGTGTATTTGGTGTAACAGAATATGTTGACATGCTTTAATGTTCAAAAAACACATTAATTATATGTCAGACAACACGGACCTCTAGAACAAATGAACACTAGATGGCGATAGTAAGCAAATAAAGACTTTTTTTTGGAAAGATTTCGTTGCATATGTAAGATTTTATGCGTATATAAAGATAAAAGCTTGACACATACAACCTAACATTCGGGATGGATTACAAGCTCCAACCAAATCAGTAAATGTATAATCAAATCTTAAAATAACTGTTTTGATGATAAACAAAATTATCATCTCACAAAAGGATTGTCCAAAAAAAAGTTTACATGAGATAAATAAAAAGTATTAGTGTTGCAGTAAAAGTTGCTATAAGATCAACTTAAGTGATTGTGGCTTTCAGTCATGTGACAGCTGTCGTCACACAAAATGTATCTCACTGGAGGAATCCATAGGCCTATCTAAGACAGGATTGAATACATAAAATACTCTATATTATTTGTAAAAAAACAAACAAACAAAAAAAAACCTTGTTTTATATTATTTTTAAAATAAAACAAATGTTTTTTTTTGTTGTACACTCTTAAAAATAAAGGTGCTTCACGATGCCATAGAAGAACCTTTTTGTCTAAATGGTTCCATAAAGAACCTTTAACATCTGAAGAACCTTTCTGTTTCACAAAAGGTTCTTTGTGGCGAAAGAAGGTTCTTCAGATTATAAAAAGGTAAGAAAGAGATGGTTCTTTAAAGAACCTTTGACTGAATGGTTCTTTGTGGAACCAAAAATGGTTCTTCTATGGCATCACTTGAAGAACCTTTTGAAGCACCGTTATTTTTAAGAGTGTACCCGAGTTAATTACTTTTTCCTAAGAAGTCGTTTGTACCCTTCCTGTGTGTATGTGAAGTTGCCATAT